TCACGTTAGTACTATTCAAACAAATATTTAATAAAATTTAGTAAATTTTTTTTCAGTGTCATAGAAAACGACATTATTAAAAATAGCCTCTTCTCTACTTTCGTACATAATATGATTCATAGATATTAAATCACATTTTTATAATTTTAATTAATTTTTTGTTTGTAGGTGTCGTGGATCAAGCGAAAGAACTTATTGTTACACGAACTATTGACCGTAGGACTAACGACATACGCCAATGATGAACGGTTTCAGGCAATTCATTTCCACCATAGCGAAGATTGGACGCTTCAAATAAAATACGTCCAACCAAGGGATGCCGGATTGTATGAATGCCAAGTGTCCACCCATCCGCCCACGAGTATATTTCTGCTCCTTGACGTCGTCGGTAAGAAAAAACTTTTATTACAAAATTATATACTCATATATTTATAACTTTTAATGATTATGACTGGTTCGCTACACCCTTTTATGATATTTTATAAAATATAACATTTTTGTATAATTCAATATTTATGTTCAATATTTATGTCAGTGGATTATACAGTAACTAATTACAATTAATTAAAATTAATTTTAATTTTATTCATATTACACTTTATACATGAACGTATACATAAAGTAACTAGGCTATCTTGATATTTTATTAATTATGAGAGAAGCTGTGATTTTCTCTATTTCAATTATTTCTAAATTTTATGTTTTTGTACAAAAGACTTGGAGGAAACGAGTAATAAATTTTGAATTTGGTTAGGTTAATTAATGAATAATATTTAGATAAATTACTCTTTTTTTTTTAAAGAAGCTTTTAAAAAATAAAAATATTCAGCTTGTGTGTTTACTTTTTGGAATTCTCAATGTCATAATCGTAAAAACTATATAACTGATGTAAAATTATTTCTTTCAACAATAAAATTCAATAAAGTAACATTTGAATTTCGTTTTTCAATATTCTTTTACACGTTTTGGTTTCATTATCTTTATATATTTTTATGTTTTAAGGAGATCCCATCATCTGTTTTATCTATTCAATAGGACTTACACATATACGATTTATGTTATTAATATTACTTATATATAT